ATTTGTAAGGTAGAATTGGGATCATGATTGTGGGGGGTGGGGGAGAATTAAAGAACTAGAGGAAAGCTATGTTTCATTGGTTCTGTACTGCACCTTGGCTGGCTCGTCTCCTCCCTGCGACCCTTCTGTAAGGGGATGCCCTGTTGTCTACAGATGGGCTTTGGGTCTCCACTCGACACTCCATTTCATTCACAATGATATGATTGTGATGGCTGATACCTGATCCTATCGATACCTTCTGGTCACATAGGCTGGTGTGTGAGCAGTCTTGTTTTCTTTGAGCCTGTGGTATACTTTGCCAGAATGAGATGTGCATGTGTTTGCATGTGATCGGGTGGGGGTTTGTGATAGAAACAAGATCATAAATATGGGCTTCTCAAATTGGCTCTCCAGCCTGATTAGGCTTAACAGCACTGATGAAGCTGTAGCTCTACACCCTAAAGGCATGGATAAGTCTGCTATTATTACTAGAGTGGGGGGTGTTCATCCATGGTGTGAAGTCCGCAAAGCTAATATCCACAGTATCCCCACCCATAGATGAAGTGCTGGTGAGAGGAGAGGCTCTGGGTGATCGTGTGTGTGATATTTTCCAGCAGCTTTGTCAGGATGAGAAGTATAAGGAAACTGGTTGACTGGTCCTCCTTAAATACAAAATGTGATCAAGGAAAGGGCTAATCTCAGAACCTCAGAAGCATTTCTCAAATGCCCAATAACAGACCTAAAAGCTTCTGCCTGTGCTACAAAGGAGAGTCTTCGCTCCTCTAGTAATAGTGCTGACATTGCCAAAAACCACATCCAGACTCTCGTCATATGAGTAGCTGAATTACAGCAACAGCTGAATTGCAGGTCTAGAATAGTGTATGATATTAAAGGAAGGGCCCTAATCAGAAAGAATTGGGACCCTGGAACATGGGATGGGAACATATGGGCTGATGATCCAGAAAAGGAGAATATTGTGTCCCTTGAGTCAATTGAGCCAGCGTAGTCAATAGATCCACCCCTCCCACCTGAGGGAATTAACCAACTATCAGTAAAAAAAAACTCACACCTGAGCAGATTAACCAAATTGTTCAAGCTGAAATGCCAGGTGGGATTGCATCTGTAGTATTGCCTGAGGGGGATGCCTTACAAGGTATTGCTGAGAGCATCCAGGAAACACCCCTCACCACCCATTACTCCCTCGAGCCCTGTAACTAGAACTGTCTCAGACAGTTCCTAAAGGTGAGGTTCAGACAATGATTCAGGAAGAAATGCTCTATACTCAGGAAGATCTGCTCGAGTTTTCTAATACGTACAAGCAGAAGCCTGGGGAATATCCC